CATTATAGAGCATCGCTACAGCGATGTAGTGCCTAAAAATAACCATGCATGGTGCGCACGGCGCAGTACTGGCTGCTACTGCGCTGTCTTTTAGTACTTCCAAAAGGAAGTACTAAATGACAGCGTAGGAACAACGGTGCCATGGTGGCACATGTAGACGCATCCACTGCGAAGTAACTTTGTTTGTGTCATGACTCAAGTTTGTAGGGTAGTTTAGCATTTTGCTTCCTGTGGGCACGTCTACTTGAGAGATTTACTGTGGAGCCGACTAATTAGCTCTGCAGTAAATGTCTCAGCATCTACACATGCACTCCTATTACAGAACACAAAATGAATAAACTCTGCAGCAGGGTATTACTTGTAAATACAAGTACTACCCTGCGGAGAAATGTCTTCATGCACAGCAGCACACATATAGACACTGACCTGGCTGCCTGGGACATGAAGGTGCCTCAGTGCGAGGGCTGCCTGCTGTCAAGCCCTGCAATGAAGCACCCTCATGCCCCAGTCAGCTCCTCTGCAGCCCACTGAACTCAGCTGGATTGGCCCTGGGCTGGCAGGCTGACCCCCTGGACCTCCTGCCAGCTGGGGCTGCTCCAATCTAGCTCAGTGGGCTGCAGTCCAGGTGCCTGTGTAAACAGCAGGCCCAGGAGCTTCTCAGGAGCCATAAACTCTGAAGCAATAAGCTCCAGAGTTTATCACTGTGCGTTAATGGGATTTGTAGGTGTGCCCAGTTAGTACGCAGCTGTGCTAAACCAGGGGTGGGCAAAATACAGCCTGCAAGCTACATCCGGCCCGCCAGGCACTTTCCTGCAGCCTGCAGCACCCCCCCAACGAACTGCACCCTACCCAGCCCTTCTGCTCATGAGGGTGGGAGTGAGGTGCCCACATGTACAACCCCCAACATACTATACTGGGTCTCACTCCCACCCTCATGGGTGAAAGGGCTCTGCCCAGCCAGCAGCTCCCAGGTAGGGCTCCTACTGCAGCCAAAACCTGCTCGCTTGGGGCAGCAGGTAGGGAATCAGTAGGGCTGGTGGGGGGGGGGGTGGAGTTGAAGGTGGGCAGAAGCTGGAGCACAGCATGGAGCCTGCACCCAGAAGGGCAGTGGGAGTCCGGAGCTCAGTTGGGCAGGGTGTGGGAGTGTAGGGACTCCCCACATACTCCCCCCATGGCGTGCAGCCCCAGCTGCTGGCAGCAGCAGCAGGTCGGGAGAGGTCAGGGCCTTCATGCCTGGTGCAGAAGCCTGGTAGGGTGCGGCTCTGGCCAGCACTGTGCAGAAGGAGGGAGCGGAGCCTGCCCTATCGCCGGGGCTCCACTCTGTGCACCTGCTGCTCCAACACTTGCTGCAGGGGAAGCCCTGCACTAGAGGCTGTTGCTTCCTCCGCTCCCTGCTGAGCAGGTCTCTGCACTCTGCCGGGAGTGGAGGGAGCCCCGCCTCGTTTCCTTGTAGAGTCCAGCATGGGGCTTCCCCACTGTGAGTGTGGAGCTGTAGCCACGCAGCACAAAGCCCCTGTGATAGAAGCAGCAGGGCAGACTGCGCGGGGGTGTGCTCCTCACTCACAGCACAGCACTGGCCGCCTTTATTGCAGGGGCTCTGCATTGGGCGCCTCCAGTTCCACACTGACAGTAGGGAAGCCCCGCACTGGACTTTGCAGGAAAACAGGAGGCAGGGCTCCCTTCACTCCCAGCAGAGTACAGCGACCTGTGCAGCAGGGAGCAGGGGAAGCAGCAGGCTCCAGTGCAGGGCTTCCCCTGCTGCGAGTGCTGGGGCTGTAGGCGTGTAGTGTGGAGCCCTGGCAATAGGGCAGGCTCCGTTCCCTCCCCCCGTGCAGTAGTGGCTGGAGCTGTCCCTGCACCAGGCACGAGCACCCTGACCTCCCTGCCTGCTGCTGCTGCACACCATGGGGGAAGTGTGTGAGGGGTCTCTACACTCCTCACCCTCCCTTACACCACACACACCCACTCCCTGTCCCCACAATTCCCACCGACATATACATACACCCCAACATATCCTATGCCCCCCAACACAGCCACATCCTCTCACAAGCCCCCCACACTCTCACGCCCACACAGAATATAAAAGAGTGACACTTTATTTTTGAGTTATTATACAATCCCTTCTATATACAGTACACAATCACAAGTCATGACAAATACTTTTTGTAATAAAATTAAAATATAGTAGGTGTTTGACTTCTAGTGTATGATTTGTTTTTTTTCTGGTTCTAAGATAGTAACCCCCCCCCTTCCCAAGAGGACAAGGGGAGGGACTTCCGGTGGCAAAGGTCAGGGGTTGGGTGGCAGAACTACTTATGCGGCCCCCGACAGCTCGCCAAAACTTAAGCGGCCCTCCACGGGCAATAATTGCCCGCCCCTGTGCTAAACAGAAAACAACCCCCTCCCCAACGTATCAGCATTACCTGGAAGACTTAAGGTAAAATGTTTTTACTTTTCAATATGACCAGAGTTCCTGGTGACAAACATACTGCATTAGCTCACCTTTATTTTAATGCTTATTGCAAGAAATAATGCATACAAGAAATCTTATAAAGATCTCTGCATCATTTCTATTGGGTCAGCAGTCTTAGTTGGCCTTTTGCAATTTCTGTGTTTTGTAATGGCTTCTTTCATTCAAGAAAAATAACAATGCTCTTTTGTGCCCTAGTGAAAGAAGTGCCAAGTTGCACATCTTAATGAAGGAAATCCTTTCTCCAGTAGAAATGGTTTCCACAACAGGTGCAGAGTTTTCAGATGTTACAGTAGCAACGTATTTCCCTTAAAAGGTAGGACAAGGCAAAAATGTGACACCAGAAAATAGATTTGCATTTTAAAACAGTGATCATCAAAAGGACCTATGAGATCCTTGTAAGGGAATCCTGGTACAAAGGAATCCCAGCAGACTTAATGACGCAATACTACGAACAGAGATTTTTGTTGAAGTAAAAAAAGAAGCATAAGGTTCCCAGGGGTAAAAATGAAATCCTCCATCTACTCCTAGGCTATGGAACACACAGATGATGTGTATATTTCCCTAACAAAAAGGGATACCTGCTTCTAGAGATACAGATTAACTTGGTTCTATCCCATCCTACGCAACAGGCAACCCTCGCTTAACGTGGTTTCACTTAGCGCTATTTCGCTATAGCGCTCATTTAAAAATCATACCTGATTTCACTTCATGCTGAGCTAGTTTCGTTATAGTGCTCAGTGAAGCAGCAGTGGTGGCAAGAAGTGGTGACTGGCAGCGAGTGGGCGGGCAGGCATGAGCTCAAGGCCTGCACTGGTGCCGCAGGGTCAGGGCCAGCAGGAGCCCAGGGCAGGGCAGCAGGAGTGGGGGGCCTGGGCTGGCACATGGGTCCGGAGTGGCTGGCGGGTGGGGAGAAGCAGCGGTGGCAAAAAGCAGCAAGTGCGGGAGGCAGACATGAGTGCAGAGCCCATGCCAGTGCTGGCAGGGGCCCAGGGTGGGGCAACAGGAACACAGGGCCTGGGCTGGCACATGGTGCTGGAGCAGCTGGCAGGCAGCAGGGTAGGAAGAAGCAGTAGCGGCAAGAAGCAGTGAGTGAGGGAACCTGTGGTGAAAGAGCCAGCAGGAGTGTGGGGCGTGGGTTGGCATGTGGGGCCAGAGCAGCCAGCGGGCAGGCGGAGGGGTGGGAAGAGGTGGCAGCGATGGTGAAAAGCTACAACAAGCAGCAGTAACCAATTATTTCTATTTACATTAATGCCTATGGGGAAATAGGTTTCGCTTAGCGTGGTTCTGCTTAACGCTCTGTTTTCCCAGAACCAATTAAGAGCATTAAGTGGGGGTTGCCTGTATTTGGATACAAAAATGTCACACAGTGGCCACATCTACACATGTGCTTAACTGCAGACTAGACTAATTAGCTGCAGAGTAAAGTATCACTGTCTACATGTGTCATGGTATTAGGCTGCAGTAAACGAATGAATGCTGCCATAAGATATTTCTGTCAGGGACAGTAATATTTTATGCCAGGGTATAAACTGCAGTTAAATGCATGTGCAGACACTGACTGAGTGCATAAATTGTGCCCAGTCAGCAGGGGTCACACTCCTGCCTGCTGCCTAGCCACATGGCTCTGCATTTCTAGCACCCTTGAGCCCCAGCCAGCCCCTCTGTCACCTGACACTGCCACCTGAAGCCCCGGGCTGATCCCCTGTGGCCCCGGTCCTGGAGTAAACTGCTCCACCCCAGCTCCAATTGCTGCTGTCCTGTCGTAGGGTGCTATCTTTTATTGGACCAATTATGTAGCTGGGATAAGTCTAATATCCAAACTACATAGTTGGTCCAATAAAAGATATCATCCTAAGAAATCTTTGTCTCATGCATATTTAATGCTTATAAACTTGCCTCTACAAACACATTGGTTGCCAGAGATGCGAGCAGCAAACCAATGTCACTTTCTTTGTATACTGACCGTCAATCATAGTGCTCAAGGTAAAGTTTCCATACTTGATCCACTGAATCA